AGCTACATGATTAGAAGAAGCATTTCACTACAGATTTAACATATTCAGTAACATACTCCAGAGCAAGAGTACATCTCTTTCACAAGTAGGTGCAAGTTTCTAGGTGCACAGTTGAATTAATATAGTTATATATTATTGAACTAAGTATAAGCCCTGTAAGACATAAAATTGGATGAATTTTTAACCTTTAAAAAAGATCTCCATTTCATTTTAGAATATATTGTTCCTTGCAAACAGACCCATTGTTTTTGCTACTAACACTGAGATATGTGCTATTTCTATCTCCTCAGTCCCTTTCCCTTCCACAGATTACTCTAGATTGTTCTAGGTCCTTGGTTAGCCTCAGGGAAGGAAGTTAACAATAGAGGCAGAGCCTGACCTGAGTCATATTGCTTCATCTTACAAACTGGAAAGCCGTCCATTATATGAACCACCCAGTAAAGACATGTGTCATGTCAAGGACACAGAAGAGTTCTGGGAGCCCCGTGAGTATCAGAGGGCCCTCCCAGGAGAATGCTCTGTAAGTACCATGTCCCTCAGGCTGTGTGGAGATGGGTAGGCTAGACAGAGGCAGGGCATGTGCAAAGCCAACAAAGCATGAAGGTGCATACTTCATGAACAGTCACTGAGGGAAGCTGGAGTGAGGGGTGTGAGGAGAGGGAGAGTGTAGCCAGGGTGAACTCGGAAGCTTCAGGTGACAATAATATGTGCAGCACACCATGGTTGGGGTAAATAGCACATAATAGTTTCTCAAGAAAAAAGCAGCTGAGCCAAATCTATGCATTGGAAACGTGAGGCCCATATACAGAAGGTTGGTTAAGCCGATCAATTTGATTGTTCACTGTGTAGCTCAAAAACCTTCAGTGGCTCCCTATTGCCAGTTTAGCAACTACTAGATAGTTCTGGCTCTTCCTGTTATGTCCTGAATGGTCAAGTATCCTCCATCTCTTCTGCCACAGGCTTTTCCATCTCTGGGATTTCAATCCTGATGTAACTTTCACCTAGAGCGCCCTCCTCACTGCCTCCCTCTGTCTGTATATAGCCTGCCCATCTCATATGTCCTCTGTCTGATAAAACCCAACTGCCATGGGCAGACAGGAGCTCAGTCTCCTTTGAACTCCTGTGCTGGGTGGCAGTGTGAAGTCCTTTTATTCTTGCATCCCTTCACTGGGGGTCCTCTCTAGGCTGCTGTGTCAAGCCCAAGTTTGAGGGGCCTTTCAAGACTGTCTGTGATGATGGCTCTTGACATGCCTGAAGGGGATTTTGCAAAACTGTCAATGTTTGGCTTCATCTCAGAGTTAAAATGAAAACACAAGTGCCTAGACATGTTAGAAGAGAAATCCAGGTGATTCTCTCAGACACCAAAAGATAAGATCTTCACGGTATGATGGTCAGGAAAGCAACAGTCAGGAAGAGGAACGTCAGGGACCCAAGGCCATAGTGAGATTGGGGAGCAGGATGGGTGCAGGGATACAAGCCCTGGGTGTCTGAGGATGTGACCAACTCAACTTCTACATGGCTAAGTCAGGTACCAGGCTTCCTACTGCTTCCTGCCATCCAAAAAGTAGCCGAAGTCACTGAAATCACTAACCCACATTGTCTCTCTGCTATGCCCTTGATCCTTCAAGGTTGATGGCTTTCTATTACTGTGCCCAGGGTTCTTGGGAGAGAGAGGAGGTGCAAGTGTGTGTCAACTGGCCAAATCCAACTAGAGACCTTTCAGACTCCGGCTATGAAGAAGGGACCATGCAGCTTCAGGAAGTTCCTGCTTCTTCCCCTATTCCTGGGGCTGCCCCTTCAACAACTCACTTCCCATCCTCCCCCTCACTGTGGCCACAGCCAACCCCAAAGAGAAAGGAGAAACAAGCAATACTTCGCCATGCCTTTCCCTTTCCAGGCTTTCCCAGCATCTGGAAGGAAGTGGGTAAAGACAGGCTCTTATCAAAAAGTGGCTTCATATTACACATGGGCACCCTGATGTTACTGCAGGGCCTGGGGGCCAGGACCAAGTAATAACTCAGTAAAGGGAGGTAGAACTGAATGTGCAGGAGTAGAAGGAACTGGGCTAGATTGCCGAACGAGAATTGCTCCCAGGATTGTTGTCTATACGAACAAACCTCTTTATTGCCTGTAGTTAGGGTTTCTTGTCCCTCATCTTTCATGCACTGAGTACCCACTGAGTGAGCAGAGGAACCAGAGGGTGCTCAACTGGGGGGGTCATTAAAAGCATCCCATCCAGTGGAGTCTGTACTATCCAGTGGTATCCCAGCATGCCCCAGACCCCTTGCCTTCTCCAGCTGGAGCCTGGCCCTGCTACTTGCTATTCAGTGACGGGTCATCTGGTCCTTGCAGATAAGGGCACAGAAATCCCCAGGGCATGTGACCAGCATCTGGGAGCTACAGAAGTACCATCTTGCTTTGTCCATTTCTAAGGCAAAGTTCTCAGTTCACTCAGAAAGGAAGGAAGGAATCCTACTAAGGAGTTAGAGGGCTGGGTCTAGAGTAGGTGTCAGGGTCAGATCTCAATTCTGTGGCTTCGCCTTGGGCAGGTAACTTGGGCTTCCTGAGCTGTGTTCCCTCTTTGGAAGCTCCACTTACTACTGGGGAACTAGTTCAATTCTTCCCATTGCTCTCAAAATAAACTCCCAAACCCTTAACCTAGTTTTGGGTTATTTTAAAGGTTCTGTGAAATGTATGAGGGTGGGAGGGGAGAGGAAAGGAAAAGAGAGGTCCATCATTGGAAATCATCCTGAAGCATCTAACACACACCAGGCACTGGGAAAGCCCAGAGGTGAAGTCAAACACAGACTCCACCTTCACAGGGCTCACAGCTTAGGAGGAGGCAAATCTTGGGGGCAATTTAAGTAGGAGGAGTGTTCCAGGAGCACTCCAGAGGGGCTTCAGAGTACACAGTATGCTCACCCCTAAAACTGGATCCCCTCCACCCCTGGATTCTGGACTGTTCTGAGGGATCCACACAGGAGCCCAGGCAGTGTTACCACCTCCCACACAGGGCACCCCTTCCCAGTCTCTTTTCATCTTAACCTGGTCTACAGATACCCAGGTGGAGCTCTGTGCCCTTAATGACATGGACACAACATTCTCCCAGGTCCATAACATCTGTCCCAGGCACGGCTGCCTCTTGGGAGCCTGAGCACCCCACGGCATGGGCCCCCAGGCACTTCAGAATTCCGAGCTTTCTGTGCCTCTGGTTTTTATCTACAGCTCAGCTTTTCTCACTTTTGTTCTTTTCAGGAGACCTTTCTTGTCTGCTGCTCAGTCACAGCACAAAGACCTCACAGAGCATCTCTCACACCACAACAGGCAGACAGAGGGGTGCCCAAGGATAGCACAAAAGTGACAGTAACCAGCTCTTCGATGGGCTGCTGAGCCTGACAACTCGACCTGCTGTGCTCAGAGTGGAGTACAAATGTCTTAGCTCAGCTCACAACGTGCAGGGTGATGACTCTGCTCACCATTCTCTCCTGCGTATTCCCAAATGTATGCCCTTCTGCCTGGACCCTGCTCCTGGCTCCATGTGGCTGACTCCCTGCAGGCTGAGTCACCGAGCTCTGCAGTGATCCAGCCAATCACAGACCCCTCACACTCTTAGAATTTCCTGGGTTCAGCACCTCACTGTCCAGAAGCTCCCAGAGCCCAGGAATCCCTCTGTGCCAGTCAGACCACTTCACTCCACAGTCCTAACATACATGGGACACAGTGACTACTGGAGGTGAGAAGAGGTAGGGGTTTTAGCTCCACTGAGGCCTCAGAAGTTAGTAGACAGACAGGAGCCACACAGGCAGCCAGCCATTGCTCAGGATGAGGAGTTGGGGTACGAACTCCCTGTTTATTTATACCATGTTGTACTTCCAGAGACCTTGAA